TCCTCAGAGTAAAGGAACTATCTCAGAAATACTGATTTATCCTGGCATCRCTCCCTGGAGATTTTATCCTTCTTTTGAGTGATGAGCAAGCCTAGAGTATTATGAATTGCCTTTTAGATTCCTCCTACTCCTTGTGCAAACTGAGTTAATGGTAAAGTAAATGTGCTAAGAGGAAAAAGGGACTTTTTCCCAATGAATAACATCCCCAAAAAGAAAGGTTAGCCTGAGCAGCCACAGCTTCTAAGAGACAAATGGTATCAGAGGGGTAGGCAGTTGTTGCTGTTATGAAACATTTAGTGAAGATAGTGTCACATGTAGGACTTGTCAGCACCTCTGGGACTTGAAAGTTTGTTCAGATTAGCTTGGATTGCTAACTTACTGTCACTGGCTTTATTCTTTAAAATGCTGCTGCCTCTAGTAACCATAGCTGCAACTGGTGCCAAACTGTTCGACCTAATCTGAAAAAGTCATCCAGAAAAGATACATCAACACTGACAAAAATGCCAGGAGATGGTTAAATGGCCTGTGCTCCTGCTGAAATGGAGGGGTACTGCCCAAGGTCCTGGAGAGTCCTTATAAAGAGACAAAGTAATGCTTACGTTAGAGATGCAAAAATAACAACTTAATATCTGATAAAATGTTAGGTCACAGTCATGTCTGCAGTGTTTTTTGTGTGCCTAAAAGCCGTGCACAGAATATAATTCAGAAGCAAAAATCAATTGTTAAATCTAAATATACAGGAAAGGGCTTATTTTTAAGATTTTTTCAAACTATTTTGGCTAATTGCTGGCTTATGTATAATTATAATATTTTTCTAGTTAACTTTCTACTTGTGAGCTTTTTTTAAAAAGCCTATCATACTGTCCATACTCCAGATAAAATTTTAACTGAAATAACTTTGAGCAGKTTTTTTTTTTTTTACCCTATCATAATTTGTACTAGGGTCATTGAATTTAACGGCAGGAGACTTGTTCTGCAGTCATTTTGACTGAATTGTGCTTTCTAAATGGCATCTGCTTTTCAAACTGTSTTTGGCTACATGGCAGTGCTTTTAACATCTGTATGGATCAGCAGCAGTGGGTTTGGAACAAGTGTTGGGTTGTGTTTTCGCTTGAAAAGAGCTGTGGGCCGGTGCTGCAAGGCACTAGGGTACATATAAAATTTAATATGACCATGAAAGAATATAGTCCCGCTGTGTGAGAATATTATAAGTCRAATAATGGAAGTTCTTAATATCCTCATAGGTTTGAGGCTCAGAATCACTGAGCAGGTTCAAGCTGTGGTTGAAAGCAGGCCAGACTGTGGAGTTACAATCAACAGCACCTTTTGGGCAAGATAATTGAAAATTATAGACTGTGGAGATGCAAAATCCCTCCCAGACCATCTAGTACATCTGTGCCAGCTCGAGATGGTTCCTGCCAGTGTCTTTTATTCGTATTTTGTCTAGTCCARTTTGAAACGTCCCGTGGGACTTGATCACGTCCCTTTTCTAGTGGCTGCCATCTTTCCTCCTTGTGGTTTTATCRGACGGATTGAGTAGGAGCCCTGCGGTTCCAAGGTGCCTACAGGCCCCGCTCCTCCAGAATTTCTGTCAACTTTTTCCCCTCGTAGTCGTCACCATTGACCCAAACTGCACCCGTGTGTCTTGGGTTTCCAAAGGCTGGTGCGGCCGCCGAGGGCCCCTCCGGCGGCCTTGTCCTCAGGCCTCTCTGGCAGCCCCAGGTGGTAGCAGGAGGTAGAGGCAGCCCCCGAGGAGCTCTCATACAAATAGGCTGCAGGGGAGCTCAGTCTTGACCTRTTCTTAAACGTATCTTAAACATATCAATGAGCCCTGTTGCTTCATCTCCTTCAGATCAATGGTTTTTCTTCAGGCCTTCCCATTATTCCTGCAGAAAATCCCACATACTTATGCTGGTGTTCTTTAACTAAGATGAAASTACTACCTCATTAATTTTTTTCCCTAAATAGTTGTAGAATATTTCTTACAACCACAATGTCTTTTGTTCAATAGATTCTAAATTAATATACTTCTTTTTTTTAATGTCACCCACACTGTTTTTTAGCTAGTTCTTGCTAGAGCAGCGCTTGGGCCTGAAGCATTAGGAGAACATGAAAATGATATTGGGGACCTTTTTATTTTGCACATATTTCCCACAGCTTTTTCCTTCTTTCCTGTGCTACTCCAGCTTCCTGTTAGACAAGTTAAAAGGGGCTCAAATCCTGTATATCCAGAGGGAATTGAATTATCTGTGTCCTACAAAGCTTTCTAACTATTTGGCTACTCTGCTGAAGGAGGAAGAGATGACCACTTAATGAATCTCATCTAAAATGATAGGTTGGACATAAAATATGTCGTGAACTTGATTATTCCAGATCTAAGGAAGCTGAATATTTGCTTTTAACGAGTCAGGTTACGGCAAAGGGAGTCATCCTGTGGCTGACCCGTCAGCATGAGAAAGATCCCTGCCTGTCTGTCAGTACAGGACAGGTATCTGTAGGTAGGTAGGTTTTAAAATCTGCTCCAAAGACTCCCAAGTCAAGTATTTTTACTTTAGAAATTTTACCTTAAATTTATTACCTTAATTTATTTTTTAAATTTACCTAAGCATTTTACCTTGGGTAAGCTGCATTTTAGCAGCTTTTATGTAGGCTCGCTGTAGTAGAACTGGTCACTCTTTACTCCCCTTAGATAAGTATCCGTTGCCTCTATTGGAGCACTTCGGAGATGAAACCATTTCTTAACTTACATCAGTGGAAAATGACAGTTCTATCTATTGCTTTCTTGAGCAATCTCAGTGCCAGGGTCCTCTGTTTAAGCACTCATTTAGCTGCCGTGACATTTTTATTAAGCTAAATAAATAGAGCATTTGTGAAAGAAATGAGTGAAGAGTTACAATTTGCTAAGRAAATAAATGTTCTACTCTAACTGAAGATCAAAACCTTCATATATTTTGTGACATTGATCCCACAACATTAATGACACACAGCATTTAGTCTGATACAATCTGAGATTTGTAGAGTCAGCTTTTAGTAAGCAATTTTACACTGCAAACCTTAGGTTTCCTTTACAGCATCTACTGGAAGCGGGAAAAAAAATGGTTACTATATGTTGTTAAAGGGGAGCTGTAACATTTGTAATGTACCATCCCACATAAAATTTGGATGGGTCTGGCTCCAAGCTCTCTAGGCTTTTGGTGTGTTCATTGGAAGCTTTTATGAGCCTCATGCCATTCCTTCTGTGGGACATAATCTGCTTTCATTGGTAGWTGCTGGAAACAGGTTCAGCTGCAAGTGTAGATTGCAGAAATGATGAACCAATAATAGTGCCCTGGGCTGTAAAATGGACGTTGTAATAACACGTCCCACCCTTGTGTGTCTTCACTGATTGAAGACATTCATTGAGTGAGGGTGGAGAAAAGTGTTCTCTAAGTACTAAAAATATAAATAAGTTTTAAAAAACAGCAAATTTGTGGTTGATTTCACGTCAACGATGGTTATTCAGTGATTCCTGAAGTGCAATTTGAGTAATTTGCCACACACAGAGTTTAGTTTCCTTAAGTACTATTAAATTACATTATTTGTTACTTTTACTGTGATTTAGACCTGAATTATTTACACAGTATTTGTCTTTGTCAGCACAAGTTGGCCAATATTTCATAACCAAACTCCACATAYTTTGCAGAATAATGACATTCAAACTTTTGTTGTCTAATGCCATACAAAAGAAAGTTTAACACAGGCTTCCATTCAAAATTAGCCCATCTTGACTATCGTGACTTTTTATTCCATAGGTAGATGTCTCTTTATATTGTTACTTAAGGAAACACTTACTAAAGTGTTCTTACCTCCTGCAAGGTATGGGTGAAGTTCACTTTAAGCAAAAGGTTAGGGATATAACTGAGGCAGATGTATTTTTTAATACTGGTCAGAACTTACTGCTGCTTCATAGTAACATGCATTCTTGAAGATTTGAATTGAGGCTGTCCTTTCTGATGTATTTATTCTTCAGAAATTTCTCTTTGAATAAGTATTACACAGAGCTGGGTTTATAGCTGGCTGTTTTCTGAAAGAAGGGCTGTGGTCGGATGCTTCAAGGAATCAGTGTTACATGGAATGTAACCTTGTTACATTGAATTGACAGCAACTCTAGCACAGGCAAGAAAAATTCTCTCTTCTCCTCCTCTCTTTTCCCTCTTTCCTTCCGCTGGGGCCAAGTAGAGGTAGGGAGACAGAAGAATCTACACCATTTCTTCTGAGAGMGAACAGACTGGTTGCACTTAATGCTGACGTCCATGATTGCACTTTGTTGATAACGCAGTCATTTAATGGAAAGATAGTTAAAAATAAACTTGTACCTTGCTATACTGGCAAAATGGCTCTATCAAGGCACTGTGTGCGTGTGTGTATACAGGCAAGTGTGTGTCAGGCCCTGCTGTCTCTACCTACGAAATCTTCAGGCCTTTTGCTATCCAACCTTCCAACCTCAAAAGTCTCTTCAGCTGAGTAGGGTGATTCTGTCCATCTGCTCAAAATGCATATGAGTTGGCACAAGAGTATCCAACTTTGAATTGAAAAAATCAAGAAGAGTTTTTGGATTTGAAGGATAGAGGCTCAAACTCTGTCCTAGCTGTCAGAGATATGATAAATGTTCATATTTATCGTGCTATTACGCTCCACCTCTACCTCCCACCAGCCTTTCTCTGATCAGAACTCCTCAAGGGAGGATAACCCAGGATGTAAAGGGTCAATGTAAAGCCTGTGCATGTCTCTGCCTGTGTACTGCAAATGCAGTGGTGTAAATATAAGTAAAYAAATACGGTTGTGCTTGCTGCAGAACTGCATGAAAAACAGTGAGAAAGTACCAGTGATTTCCGAAGAAATATGTGCATGTGCTGATTTAGGAAAAATACATTGATGACAAATGGGGAAAGAAAGGTAACTGGCTATTGCTAATCATCTTTGCAAAAATGTCTAATGTTACTCGTGTTTCCTGTTCATAGATCACCTCACTTGTGACACTTCAGCTGTTATCCTTGGTTGGCCATAATGACCAGCTTGATGGACCCAGGTACAAATGTACTGTATCTCTGGACTTCATCAGAGCTATTGCAAGGTGAGCCCATCAGACACTGTTTAGTGTTTTATGTGCTGACTTGAATGAGATTTCAGAAGCAGTATTTGCTTAATCTTTGTTTTAACTGTCTGCCTGCCACAACAGAAATCAATAGACACTTCCTAAGAATGGAGAAAAAGCTACTGAAAAGTGCATTGCTTATTTGTGTATATTCCAGTAGTTGAGTGAGATCTTTCTAAAACATCTTTATTGCATGATTAACTCTGCAAATAGAAGAATCCTTGTTTTCAAGAACTTACCATTTTTAAATAAATGAAATATCTTTCCGAGGAGTGAAGACAATGACATTCAAGCGTCCTCTGTCCTACAAGGTGGCTGTGAAGTTCTCCTGTCTCCCTTCTAGTGATTTAGAAATCTGGAACTACCCTTGCTCTTTTCCGGGCTTGTTTTAATGAGGAGGTGTGTGCTGTAATGAAACTGCTGCCACGAAGGAGTGAGGAATGAGAATGCCCTTTGCCAAGTTCAGGCAGATTTTGATCAGATTTCATTTGATCAGTCTACAGGAGGGGATATATATGGTGCAGTTGCCTGTGATTTCAGGGACCTCRGGAAATCCCTTTTAGCTCTAACACCCTAGAATTTATTCTTTGTGCGGAAATGTGGTAGTGAAAGTTGGTGTCCTGGATTTTAATGTTGTGGAAACTGTCTGCAGATGCTGTGAAGTGCTAAGTCTTTGAAATTTTTTTTTTTCTTTTTTCTATTTGTACTATTTACCTAAATTACACACATGGTAATACAGTAGCACAAGAAGTTGTCTTTTAATAGTGATATTTTAATGTGGTGAATGAAGCTACTCTGTGGCTGCTCTTGATAGCGTTAGCTGGCTATAATTCAGCAGCTTGCTATGTTGTTCATGAAATGGGGTGAGTATTCCTCATACTTTTGGAGCTTTGTTTTTTTGCTTATGAGGTTACTTATTTTTTCAGGGAAAAGCTTTTGCCTGGCAGGAGTGGCTCAAACTTCTTAGCTCTAGTTTTCATATCACAGAGTTTTACAGAATTTCCTGGGAAGGTCTGCTGGTGTGTGAGATACTAAGGCTAGCTCATTTATTAGTACTTTTCCAAAGTAACTCAAAAACAGATTAGGTTTCCAAGCAATAAGCACGTAGAGAAGTCTTTAAATACCGAGTTAGACTTATCTAGAAGAGCAATAGAGAAATTACTAGCGTAATTGTAGTACTTGAATGCAGTCTCTCTTAATTTGGTTTTCTTAGCTTCAAATATAAAACAACACCCCAAAGACTTTCAGTAGCAGCTCATTAACATTCTAAATTTCTGCTCCTTATTTCTGATCTGTCACATAATTGTGTCCAAGCGTTCCTSTGGGCTCAATAAATACTTGTTAATTGAGAATTTCATTGGATGGCCCTTTTGCCTAAGATTTTCTCCGCTTTTGGGAATGGGCAGGGAATTGATACAGTTCTATCAGCTCACAAAGTGGGTATTTCACCAGAAGAGAAGTCTGCAGGATTTGAGTATAAAGCATTGTAAACTATACTGCAAAGCTTCAACTCACCGGTGACGCCCCYGACCTGTTAAGTGTCCAAGAGACTTCTCGGGAAACCCCACAGACACTTCATTTCTGTTGGCAAGTGGACAGGGTGTGGAATGAAACTTGCTCTGACTACATCCTGCCGTGACCCCTAGGGCTTCACTAGCCCAGTTTGCCCTTCCCAGCAATGAAGCCTCATGTGAATGAGGCCCCCCAAAATTCCCTCCCTGCTCCCAAATACAGAGAGCGCCCTGCCAAGCACCACCCATCGTGTTCAGACCTGCCCCTCTGCTCTAACTCTTACTGGGAATACAGAGACCAGTTCATGRTCTGTTCTGACTTCATGAGTCTTTCCTTAAGTTGAACAAAGATACTGGAAGTGACATCCCCCATCCCACAACATTAACTCTCAGAAGTTTCGCCGAGAAGTTTCAGCTSCTAAAAGTTAGAGCTGGCCAAAACCCAGGAGCAAGTCTTGTGCTGTGGATAGAGTAATCAAGTGACTTGACAGATTTTGAAGTCAGCCTATGGTTCTTCTCCTTTTCCTCTTGTTCTTTTTTTCTTGTGTTTTCTTTTGTTACCCTTTTTTATTTAGTTTCTTTTCCAGGAAAATTTTATTCAGTTTCTTTTCACTGAGTGTATGTTATTTGTTGGAAGGACACTCTATAGATAAGACGCAGGGTTTCATGAACCCATGTTTAGTGGATTTCCTCTTGGCTAGATGGGGCCAAATGAAGGCTGACTCTGTAATCTCTTGTGCTTTAAGTTTCATTTTCTACCTGTGTTGTGACATTGCAGCTGCCTGTAGCTTTTACCCGGGTGTGGGAGAGAAGTATTTACTGCAGAGAAAAAGGATCCACTTTGCCATTTCAACCAAAATACACCCCAGTTAAGCAGACCAGCTCCTGATTCTCTTCTTCTCCATTATGGTACTGGTGCTAAATTTCAGCCACCTGAATCCTCCGCTACCTCATCCTTGTTACCATCTCACCTAATTCCTAATGAGAAGCTGAAGAGCACAGAGAGCAGCACAGAGAAGTAGGCGCTCTCTGCCCTTCTTTAGAGCACCTCATTCAAGGTGTTCAGCTGGTATTTAAATTTTCTATTTTTTTATAAAGCAAAAATGAAATGTGCTCTTCTTTTAAAAAAGTGAACACTGTATTTGTTTTGTGGAAAAAAAAGGTAATATGCCATGTAATGAATCCTGGGAAGTTTCAGTGTGTGACTTCTGCCCATCCGCTGCTGCTCTTTTTAATATGACAGAACATCAGGTCTAGCTCTGTTTTATTCCTTATATTCAGCCTCTGCAGAGATATTCCTGTGCTTTTTACAGCATGCTGTTCACACTTTGGGCTGAAGATAAGGCTAGATATTTCTTTACTAGAAACCTTAAATTTGTGTTTAAAGAATTTTAGATGTAAGCTCAATAATTTTCTGAGATAGGAATCGCGTAGTGTTCGTTGAATGGCCTGGACCTCTTAATATAGACTCTGGTGATCCTAGCTGTTACGACAGGGTCATTGTGCTGCACTTGGTTGATAAGGTCAGCAGTTGTTAGAGAACATGAGGTTGTTTCTGCATATTCTGTTCTATAACTTGTTCTGGAGTGACACARCTTAACGTGCTCCTAACGGCAGCAGTTAATTTTCTTTAACTCGGTCATTGGGTTATTAAGTGTTTAACTTTGTGGAGTGTTTAACTCAGTGGAGTTAAGTGGGCTCCAAAGCAGTATCTCTTGCTGTGTATCTTGGGAATTTCTGAACTTTTTCTCYGTCTGCTACAGTGTTATCCAGAAACTTTTAAAAAGTAGGTTACAAAATGATGCAGGAACAAAGAATATTAAAGTGATTGCAGTCTAACAAATAAGACATTCAGCCAGTTAATCTCACTTAGCATTGTGAGTGGTTATTTTTGCATCATTGAATACTTTAAAAAAAAACCTTTTAATTTTATACTTGTCATTATATGCAGTAATTTGTGTGTTATTTATTCAAACAGTAAACCCTAAAGTCTGAATGTTAGATTGTACAGCAGAATGAATTCGGAGACAAAAAAAAATAATTATATGTTTTATTCCACTGCCATTTCGTTCTGCCTACCATCAAAGTACAAAAGTATACATTAAAATCTTCTATCCTATTGAGTGGCATTCTTGGGATTTTTTCAAATTTAGCTCTGAACGTGGGTCAAGCAGTGTCAAGACTGAAAGAACGCAGACTGCAAATGAGTACAGATGAAGGAGTTAGGCAGTACACGCTAAAACAGGTGGTTTGGAAGATGAACAAAACAGTCAATAGCATGAAAGATTGCTGCTTTGCATCTCCAACTAGGGTATAATGCTTAGCAGATGAAGATTTATCAGCTTTGATTTAAGTTTTACTGCTTTATGATAAGGAATCTTTCACTTTTTTTTTTTTTTTCTAGAAAGCTTAATTTTGAAAAGTCTTACAAGGTTGAAATAATCAAAAGATAGATTCTGTCAATAACAGTAGAAATTAGAAATTGTCTTTCATGTCTGAATGCATTTGGAGGGGGGAAGGTGTTGCTTGCTGTTGACTGTGCGGAATCTCCCACGTGTGCTGTCTCCAAACAGGTTAAAGTCTTAGCACTGCTAAGATGATTGTTCTGATATACTGTGTTTTTGCTTATAGGACCGTGAACTTCGACATAATAAAGTACTTGTACGATTTCTTGTGAAAAGAAGCTTCCCAGCCATATGGACACTGTGACAATGACTAAGGCAAGCTGTGTTCATCTCTCTACTTAGCTGGCCAGAAAGAAGAGCATTTTGGCTCTTTCGGATTTGTCCAGACAGGTGCTGGCCCAGCATGGAACCTGGTGGAAATACTCTGATTGGTCTAGGTGGATCGGAGCAGAGGACTATTTACCAGGGACCCTGGCGTATTTGGAAGCAATGTGTTAATTATAAACAGCGGGGTTTGARCACAATCTGTTCTACTCTTAATGATGTTATCTTAACACTGAAATTGCCTGAAACCCATTTACTTAGGCCTGCATTTTGCTCCATGAACTCTCCCCGGTGCTTTGAACATGGCAGCAGCCCTTGTTTGTATGCCCAGTCTTTTCACTTCCTCTCCACAGGAATCTCTCTCTGCAGTTGCCTGCCAAGGCAGCTTTTCCGAGGCCACCATTTTAGGAGAGCAGAGTGGCAAAATACAATAAACATAAGAACATGTTTAAAATCAAGCTGATAGCCTCCTTTCTCTTCAGGCATATSTAGGCAGACTGTTACACTGTTACAGACACAATGATAGGAAGCTCCCCAATTTATCAGCACACCGTCTCTTTTCAGACCATTCATAAATTCTAGCTGTGAATCTATTTTTGCCGACGCTTTTTTATTTAAAAAAAAATCATTGACTATAACAATTCTAACCAGATATCAGACTCTAAAGGTTCTCTTTTTGTTTTAAGACTTAATAATCCTTTATAGCTCATCTGGTTTTACTGACTATGAATCAAAGTGTTTTGATTTGGTCACACAGATGCTGTTAGGTTTTTGTAACAGCATCTAGTCTGTAGGGGAGGGCAGCACAGCTACGTGTCCGTCAGGAGGGTAGAAATTCAACAGGTGGTGGAGGGGCCCTGCAGCAGTGCCCTGGAAGAGACAGAATAGTGAATAATCAATGTGTTGCCATACCCTAAAGCTTTGACTGCAGCACACAGGTAAGAGGAAGACATAACATTAATCTGAAATTGTATATGAGGCTATAAACYTGATCTGCGTGGAAAACATTCTCCAGTTATAAGTTGTGTTCTGCTACTATTGCCTATTAAGGACTATTTTGGATAAAGCGYGTGGAGACCTGTTCTTCTTGAATCTGAAGGGTTTTGTCTCCCTCTTAAAAAAAATTATGGTTTCACAGTGTTTTCCTCAGATATTGTGCTCTTAAATGCTGACCTCCAGCTGCCTGGTGGTGCAAGACTGTGCTACATCAACTGTTCTGTCTTTTTTTAAAGGAARAATGCTCCCCTTGATCTCAGGTAATGGAAATGGTCAAATAGCCCAGAGTAGACGTAGTGTTTTTCTTCAGTCATGCTTGTGTGGCTGGGCTTCCGAGCCTGGATTCGGACCCAAACCGGTGAGCTCCAGGTGAGTCAAAGCAACAAAAGGCTCTTTCTGGCCCAGCTGTCATTTCCCTCCAGCAGGAGCCTGCAGAAGGGCAGGAATGACTCATCTCCGGGATCCTCTTCCCTTCCTACCGCTGAGCTGAATCAAACCCTGCACCTGTCCATGAGGTGGCAACATTTGTCACGCTTGCTCAAGTGCTTGGATGCAGATACTTGACCTGTTTCAAAATGTTTATTGTCTCCTTTTGTTTTCCTAATAAAAACGTACTTAACTTGAACTGTGACTTGCTCTGAACTTGATGGCTGTGTCCCTTTTTGGAGGCAGCAATGGGCTGAGCTCAGCACCTCCAGCATGGAGACCACCTAGGGCTGGAAGCAGGAAAGTCTGAGCTTTTCTCAGCCAGGAACTAGTCCCTTTTCAGCTGGCCCGCATAGCTCTCTGTGATAGCCCATCTTGGCTGGGAGTTGCTATTACGAGGCACAATGGGCTCAACACTACTTTTCTAAGTCYTGCAGGTCCAGGAATTGTGTGCATTTCCAGAATGCTCTTTTTTCAACAATAAGCACTCAGGTTTGATTTGAGAAGTACCTAATGAAATACAATCCCTCTTGTTTTGTTTTGTGAAATGTAACTGGTTACTAGAAATGAGTCCCTACCTACAGCTAAGTGATTTTTCACTATTGCCATAGCTTTTCTTAAAAGGATTAAGAGCAGAAGCAATCCAAGACCTTGGTGTCTAGCACAACTACACAGGCAGTATACATGGAAAAGGCAAAATATGACATGTTTCAGGACTGATGTTCAGTATAGGTCTTTGCAGGTAAGTATTTCGTGTAAGTTCTGTTTCAGGTTGTGGGTTTAGTTTTGTTTTCCCCACACTAGCCTGATGATTATTTCTTACATGAATYGAAAGGGGTGATACTAATTTTGTATTGTGCAGGTAATTAGATAAAATGAGGTAAATTGGAGGATGAGTAGYTATCAAGGAACCATTAGACTGAAACCGTGTCCTTACATTGAACACACTTCTGTGCCCTCTTTGAACGATACCCATCAGTGATATAAAATTTAAAGCTGAATCAGCAGATTAGGAGAGGGGACAAGGTGACTGAGGTGTGGATGACTGATTTAGGCTATAACTAAGCTGATGATGAATAGCAGGATCTGTTCTGACAAACCAGAAATGCTTCTATATATCCATGTCAGTGAATTTATAAATTACTGCCAAGTGCCTAATTAAGTACCCTCGCAATCCTAGCAATATTACAGTTGGAGACCGCTTCCGTGGGTGAAGTGTGGCCTCCTTTAGCCTCCTTRGAGCCAGGAGTACTGCTGCTCTACAGGTGGTTATAGAAACTCTGAGGTGCAGCGCAAGATGATTGTTAATCAGAAAATCTCCCATACTCTGTTGCAGTAGAGTGTAAGAACTTAAATTCCTAATTCATCGGTCACAAAACATTATAACACCTTAAAAATTAAATAATCTGACACTTTCTGTCCCAGCTATTCCAGACATTTGCAGGGCTGGGGCTTGTTCTTAGAGGAAACAAATGGAGGAAGAAGTTTATCTCATATTTTTATAAACATAGCGTGCATATTTCCATTTTCAAAAAAGGGTTGCAGGAGTGCATTGTGTGCAGCTCCCTTTTCAGCAGTGGTTTACCTCTGCGTCTCCCAGAACCTGCTGCTTCTGCCACAGTAATCCCCCTGCTATTGCAATTTGTGCAGGTTCAGCACTTTGCAAGTTCTGGGACTTCTACACACCATGAGTTACAGCTGAGAGAATGCATCAGGTTTTAGCACCAGTTAATTTTTAGTGTGTCCATCAGCTCGTTTTGCCYGGACCGTTCAGACACTGACCATCATCTCCAGGCATGGACCATAGGGCCATGCCAGGACGATGGTGTGAAGCACAGGATTCCCAACAGGAATGTAGGAGAAACCACATGTCTGTGACATTACCTGATGATAATAGTTTGATTAGCAAGTCTAACCATATGCAATACCAAATTTTATGTGTTCTCAGCCATTTTGGTTGGGCCTGCTAGAGTATTTGATGGATAGATGATTAATAGCAGAAACTGCGATTTTTTTTTTTTTTTTTTTATCTCAGCTCTCTTGGGCATATCCTTAACTCTGAACAGGCAGATGCATGTAAGTTGTGTGCAGTACTAGGACAGAAGACATAGACTATATCCAGCTTTACTTTTTGTTTTTTGTGCAAAAAACTGAAGCAAATCTGAAAAGAGTATGAGAATAGTTTGTGTATTYGTGTGTTTGTGTAGTCTGTAGCCAGCAGATTTCAAATCACAGAAGTACAGTCCTTGTCATGRAGATGTCCTGAACGCTCTGCATGGGAATATGTCTTGAGAAATTATAGTCCAATGACAGCATCTGGAATAAAACAAAACTTTGGAAAATAGCATATTGCTGGTGATTTGGCATCAGCGATAGTCATGTAATTACACTTATATAGTCATATAATTGTAAACCATATGCTTTTTAATATCTAGGYTCCTAATGTCATGAAGCTTTCAAGTATCAAAATAAGACCAAGACACTTTAGGAGCCTCTGAAAATTGGTGGGTTTCTGCTGTTTGTGACAAGTGGCATTGCGATCTACAAAGTGGTCTTGAGCTAAGAAATACCCATCTTTACCAGCTCTCTTACCACATGTGGTCTGAGAATATAATAAACAAAGTGCTGTAGGTGGATTTGGTGTTTGCTGTGACTCTTTCAAGGGAGTAATCTCCAGCAGAGAGTAAAGCACTGAAAGAAAAATCATTGTTCAGTGGTTGCCGTTTGGGAAAGTATAGGACAGCTAGGGGACCAACTTGGAAAGGGGCCAGGCTTTCTTTGAGGTGCAGTGTGGAACATAGCTGTATGGTTGCCTTTGGTGTCTGCAGGTACCCAGAAATCCACAGACGTTTCTATATTAACTCCTTCTTGCACCGTCCTGCTAAATTTTATTTTTTTTCAAAATGGATTTGGCAGAGAATTGATCTACAGTCACGACTAAATTCCTCTTGGAGAAGGTCTTCCAAGAGATGGAAAATCAAGAAACAAGCTCTGTCTGAAACACAGGTATCACCCACCTTACACAGGTGTCTAAGTATCCTGTTGCCACACGTGTTTAGCTCTGTCAATGCTTTTTTTGGATGTTCATCACGTCCTTCCAGGTGGTTGGTGTGTTGGGTACCTGAGGGCAGGTGGTCAGTGTCCTCAATGCTCTTTTCCAAATCCCAGTAAAATATGTTGGACCATGGATGTCGTATTTGCAGTATTTTGTTCTTGGTGGTGTTTTTTCAAAATCTGTTGGATTTTGAGGAAATGATAATGGAAGGCCAGGACAAACCCAGTGTAGTAAATGTGATTTTTCATCATCAGGACAGCAAAGGTTGGGATTTGCCTAAATTCATTCACTGTGCTCTGGGTGTCGCTGCTTGAGCAGGTCCCTTCCAACCTCAACCAAGGGACCAAGAGGTCCCTTCCAACCTCAACCATTCTGTGATTCTGTGACTATATATATTCCATTCTCCTAATATATACTGAATTTCTACAGGAGAAGGATTTTTAATATGCATCTACTCTCCTCAGTGTGTTTGATCCTTGCTGAGAGAAGTATGTGCTGCTTGTTATTTTGTGTGCTTTGCCGAGCCAGGGGAAGCTGGAGGCACTAGAATAGAAGCAAGGAGAAGGGTTAAGARATACAAGATGTGCCAGAAAATGAGGTTTCTTTAATGCATCTGAAAGAAGGAGCAGGGGAGGACACTGGTAGTTCAAAAGCCGAGCACTTCCTCCATCTCCACATAGTTCTAATAAAAATACTAATGAGGACTTCCATGTCTATCCACGTCTCCTAAATCCTGTGAATTGGAGCACAGAAGGAAAGAGCGAATAGCAAGCAGTGAGGAACACAGCCCCTCTCATTAAGACATCCCTGCTAGATGACAGAGCAGCTTCCTATGAGAGTCAGAGAAAGAAGAAAGTCCCCAAGAGAGGGCGGTGGGGACGAAACGGTCTGCCATGCTGAGAGCAGGAACCTTGGCTGAGCACATCCTGTTTTCTTTGCTTTTCATTAATAGATTTTTAGAGCGTTTATCATGGTTTTGATACCCGTGGTTTTGATGCCACCCTCCCCATCAGTGCAGCAAATCAGTAGGAAGAGCCGAAGTCTGCGACGTTTGCTAGGGTTTGTGAGCGCCCTGTCATGTTGAGATTTGGTAGTTTGAGAGAAAATGAGAGTAACAGCCAAAGACAGACTCACGGGTTCTGCAGCCGGTGTAAATGAACCCGTGGCTGCTTCTCTGCTGGGGAGAAGGGAACTTCCTCTCCCATCAACATGGGCCCTTTCGTGTAACTTAGCCTTGTTTGGGCCACGTGCAGTTACCTTAAACAGCTCCTTCAGCATCACTGCTCGCTTCAGGTGAGACAGAGCAGGTTTGGAGCTACCCTTATGCATCCTACTGTTACATATCCTGGGCATGCTCCTTTGTGATGCCTTAGAAACCTTTAAAAATGTTCATCTAATTCCAGAAGTGCTTTTTTTTTTTTTTTTTTTTTTTTTGGTAATAGGAGCAAGAAATACGATGCTAGTGCAAATAAGTCACAGTTATTATTTGCAAAGTTTTGTCCTCTGCAATACCTCTGTTAGCACCTCTGCATTTAAAATGAAAGCAGGCTGTTTCTTTTCTAGATTTTTTGTTAAAATTATGTTGGCTGTGTGCATAAACTGGCCCTAGACTTGGTTCCACTTTTCCTCCTTCTTATCTCATCTTAATCATTCCTCCAAAGCACAGAAGTGACGAAACCTTTCATTGAAATAGTCGCAAWGTTTTTGGTGTCAGCATTAAAAGAGAAAACTGGCCTTATTTTTCTGTCACACAATTAACTGAACTTAGCAGTGAACTGCTAAAATCATTTTACCCTTGAAATAGAAACTATAAAATAGAAGATAGACTCATCATGAGAAAATTGAGCTGAAACTGTTAATCTCTGGCAAAGTTCTATGTGGTTAA